CCCCCCCCCCCCCCCCCCCCCCCATGCCATTAGGATTCACTGATCTGCCTGTCTCCATATTGTTGTTCAATTAATTTTAGCTCAACTGTTGAATAAATTAAAAAATTCTTTGAGGCAAATATAAAATGTCGCTCATAATCCATTCAGATCATTTTTTGGGGAGAAAAATAAATAGCTAATGAAGTTTTGAGATCGCAAATATAAACACTGAACCAAAGAAGACTTCAACAGCACTAGCCATCTTTGGAAGATACTTAGCAATAAATTTAAAAAACCCATCAAGATCCATTTTGAACTTAAAAGCTGAGTAAGTAAAACAAATGCTTACCTTCTCTATTCAATTTATGGTAAATTTACACCCTTTTTCATTACAACATATACATTAGTCACAACTTGTTTTTAAGTTAAGCAGTTGACACACTCAAAGAAGACAAAACGTGATTACGTCAAGATTAATGTGAACTGGATCAAATTACCTGGTGGGTAAATCCTCAGAATATTTAATTTCCGTGGGATAACAGACATGCAGAGGCTGAAAATAATAGATACCATCAACATTTACGTTTAAGCTTCCAGAAGTTTGTTTATCAAAGTGAATTCATTCATTCAATTACAGTCAGTGGCGTTGCAGGGCTGGTGCCTTCTGGGCTGGCATGGTTGGTGCCTTCTGGGCCGGGATTAGAAATTTGCGGTCACCTTTTCACATTAAAAAATAAAATCAGGATTTGGCCCAAAATGAAGCCCCTCCAAAGTGCCGCACAGGACAGACCAACAATTTTCAACCCTACTTCACACACCACTGATTACCATGCTTGTATGAGTTGTATTATTATTATTATTTATTGCACATTATTATTTATAATGATACGTAAGTTAATTATAAGATTAGTTATGTCTACTGAGGATAATATTCTCATAAATTGGACATGATTAAATAAGAAGAAGCTGTGTGTCTTTATACTTAAACATTATTGCAGTCCTACCGTCTTCTGATTGTTAGTCTCAAAATGTTATAATAGCCTCACACACACATGACAGAAACATGCAACATTCTATCTTCCAACATTTTTCACCCAAGTTTTACTTACCCGTTGAGCAATTTCCACAGATTCATAATAGTGTAGTCCTTTCTTGGGCTGAAATAGGAAATGCAGATTAAACGAAAGTTGATCTTATCAAACAGTTCATTTCCCCTGTGCTGTGAAATGACTTAGATGATATTAGCAATTTTATTTTTCTTAAGCATTCAAAAATATCTGACCATATTTAATGTTCTTTCATGGAAATAATAACCATTAAAAAATATTTTTAAAGTTTTTTTTTAATACACCAAAATCATATTTAGTCAATTTATTTATGGATACTATAAAACAGTTGTTCTCAAACTGTGGGTCGTGACCTCTTTGGGGGTTAAATGACCCTTACACAGGGTCGCCTGAGACTCTTGGAAAACACACATTTATGAAGTAGCAAAGAAAGTAATTTTATTCTTGGGGTTCACCACAGACTGTATTAAATGGTTGTGGCATTAGAAAGGTTGAGAACCACTGCTGTATAAGAATCCCGATCTGAAGGTGACTATAGAATTTTAAAAATATATATATATAAAAGAAGTTTAAAATTTAAACTTTAAAAAATAGAACATAAGATCAATAATAAACAGCAGAAAATGAAAATTGAAATTAATATCGTTACAGTTCATTGAGATATAATAGACATTTGTGAAACCTACAGGCTCTTTCCTGTCTTCAGTACATGTATACTCATCAGAAGACCTCGGGTCCCAGTCAATCTCTATGGAGGTCTGATGTGAAAGATTAATTTGATCTCATTAAAATAATATGACTCAGCTCAACAGTCAGTTTAATTAATAATGTCCTTTAAAATATAATATAGAGTTATGGTTTTAAAAAATGAACTTGAATGAAGTCATCACTTATCAGTTTATTTTAGTCTGGATTTCATTATATCAATGTCAAGACTATAACTCAAGTTTTCCCCAAGTGATGGCACATAGAGCATGGTGAAAGACATGACCTTTTACCTAACGGCCAGTTAGCCTTTTTTGGATACAGATGACAGATATGACAAGCTAGTTCTTACTTTAATGTCCTGCTATTCTTTTAAACAATATAGAAACAGATGTTGAAATATCGAAACAATAACACTACGATTAATGGATAAATTTAATTTTATTTTATATTTTATAAGATATGTGTCTATGGGTTTATACCATGCATATGCATCTGTACTTAGAAACAATATGGACACATATATATCTAAATATCTAGATTGTCATTCCAGGATTGGCCTAGTGAAGTATAGGACTACATAGCTACTCCATGATCTCGCGAAGACGAAAGGATGCCATTTATATATCTATATTTATATAGTCACTAAGAAAATAACTTAATAGTGAAATCCCAAGGCGTTTAGTAATATTCATGTCCTGATTTTTTTATGCAATAAACATCAAACTAGACATCAATTTATCAGCTGTAAGTAAGAATAACCTTTTTTCAAATTTAAGTTTTTAACATAAAAAAAAAGTTTCCCATTTTCATTTTTTTATGAAGTTGATTCCAACCTTGGTATCATCACATGCTACGCTTTTAACTCCCATAGGAACTCCTCCATGAGGATCGTTGGGATCACTTTGATGATGATCAGTGCCAATTTCTTGTCCCAGGACGCACAGTTTGAGGGAAATTACCAAGATGACTGTGAAGAAAACAGTCTTTTGGTACGCTTGTGTCACCCTCATTGTGTATTCATTAAACCTGTTGAAAAATAAATAAAGTCTGCAAAATGTTTGCACTCAGACAAAAATGTTTTGTTATTAATAGTCTGATAACGTGTTGCAAATAAAATTACTTGTACTTTACTTGTAATGCATTCTCTGAAAACAATACAATACCCAAACTTTAACTAAAGGCCAGGCTATTGGTCAACTGAACGGTGAACTCAGCGTGTCCTAAATATGTACTAACCATTGGTCAACTGAACGGTGAACTCAGTGTGTCCTAAATATGCACTAACCATTGGTCAACTGAATGGTGAACTCAAAGTGACCTAAATATGTACTAACCATTGGTCAACTGAATGGTGAACTCAAAGTGACCTAAATATATACTAACCATTGGTCAACTGAATGGTGAACTTACAGTCACCTAAATATATACTAACTAAAGAAAAAACAAGTACTAAAATACAATCCTCTCCATTTTAAGACATGAAGTGAGCTTACAATAACATTGCCCCACAAATTTTAGGGGCTTGCACTAACATTGCCCCACTAATTGTAGGGGCTTTGTTATAGTGGACTGGCGGACGAGGCCGTCCTGATAGCCAACTAGGTCAAACAGCGCGATTGCGCAGGAACACTGTGTGCGTTATTGAAAAGAGTGTTCTGGACGCAAGCAGAAAGTCAACATTATTGAGAACTTGTATATTTGTACATTTATGTTAATGTTTATTGTTGGAAATAAAAAACATACCAAATGGTGGCCAGCAATGTTCCCTTTAAACTGCGCGGCTATCTCAAAGATGCCGCACAGCAGTTTTGAGTATCCGCGCAGCAAATTTCCATGTAAGTGTGTGTTTGTGGGCTATAAAATTTTGCACACAAAAAAATTGATGCTGTAAAACTTTGCACACAACTGTATGATTTTGCACATGAACCAACAAACCTTAGAGGGAACATTGGTTGCCAGTATGGGGACCGACTTAATACATGTGATTCATGCTGAGGCAGGGGAAATAATTAAAAATCACAGCTTAAATTTGTTGGGCAGAACCGCAATAAAGAACCTCAGGATTTCGATAGACACACTGTTTCAAACAAGGATAAATAACATTAGTAATCAAAACATTGAATTCCGTAAGTCAACTGAACATTGCAATGCGGATGCTCTTAGTCATCTAGCCTCAGGGCCTGATGACATTTTTGATGGTGAAGAAAGTGAAGCAGACATGGATTCTGTATGTATGATCAAACAAATCAGTTTACAGATCAGACCAACAGACCCAGGAGACCTTGCTAAAGAGCCACTTAATAATTCTACTGTGTCTACAGCAATGAGATATTGTCAAGAGGGCTGGCCATCCTCTACAAACAAAGCACACTTGAACAAGGAGGCAGCTAATATTGCAGCTTTTCAAAAGACTCACTATCCATGGAAATAAAAACATATAAAACATAACAGGCTTTCACTAAGATTGCCTCCAAATTGTAGGGGCTTACATTAACATTGTCCACACATTGTAGGGGCTTACATTTACAAATTTATATAATCATCAAATTATAATTTTCAAAATCACAAGGACTGGGACTTTTCGTTTAGGAGGCTATCTGGTTCCCTAGACTTCAAATCGCCTCCTCCATGCATCTGGATAACTCAGGTGAGCATCCTGAGTGGATGATACAGCTTGGCACCAGCAGGGCAGCAGGAGTTGCCGAAATTTTCATTGCGTCACTATTATACCACATACAGGACTCCATCTCCGGTTCAATTCAGTGTTTTCTTTCTTTCAGATCAGTTACTAATCCAAGGTAAACACGTCCCATCCATCCGGGGTGCTGGTGGTGCTTTGCTAGTCTAGGCTTTTGAAAAAAGCTTGGAAAATACTCAATTTAGACCGCTTGGTCACCCAGCACACTTAGTCACTAGGCTACGGCAGTAATATTATGTCCTTAAGGGGCCATCCATAAATGACTTTCAGCATCTAGGGAAAGGAGGGGGGCGTCCACCAACTTTTGAAATTGTATTATGAGGGCTGTCTAAATTTTGTGACAAGTGACTTCAATTATTGATTGTCCATCTGTAAAGTATCTTTCACATTTGATTCTGGGAGACCAGTGACAAGACCCCATGGTAACAGTGCTAGGTGTATCAATTATTTTTCCTTTCTATTAGACTTAAATATATCATAAAATACACATTTCATGGATGAAAAGTCTGTTTTGCAGAGATAAGCAAAAGGAAATGAAGAGGACTTTCAAACCCATTTCAGCAAACTCTGGATGAACCCACTTATCTCGACCTCGTTTAACTCGCCAACCCTGTTTTGTCAACGTTTTTGAAATGGAACCGCCAAATTATCACTTTGTCGTAGCATTTTCTCCACAGTTATGTCGATTCTTTTATGCCGTCGAACCATGATATCTCAAGCACAAAAGGCGGCCAAAGCAATTAACTTGACACAGCAAGAAGCGAGAGGCTTGCAAACAAAAGAGAGAGGTGAGGTTGCAGTACCTGTTCTATTTTTAGCGAACCTGCTAGTCGCAGAATAGGCTTTCACGCGTTCTTCACTTGTTTTTTTTTCATCAAGAATCCGTATTTGAATAAACTGAACTGGCGAATCCGGAGCAAGAGAAAATAAAAATTCGCCAATCCGGAGCTGAAAAATATTTAGCTTCACTAATCTGGAATTACGGGATAATCCGGAAAAGTGGCACCCCACATATGCCTTGAGTTGTTAGCAAACATGTATGTACATTTTTATAGCATGCCAATCGCTTCATCAAACAAATCGCAGTAACGCTGTTGCGTAAAATGTACATAAAGAAATTTCAAGCACATGTTAATATATTGCAGCGATATTGGTTTATTTTAGTTTGTCTCGATCATCGGTTATCTCTACGTTTTTTGGCAAACCCTGAGGCCGTCGACATAACCGGGTTCTACTGTATTACTAATAAAACAAAATTGCTCAATATCAGACTCTACAGGCCTGGACATCTCAACCTGGGGTGCATGCACCTCCTAGGAATGCGGGGGACAGTGCCTGGGTGCGAAGAAAGACCCAAGAAATCAGGCTTATTTACATTTTCATAAGTAGCAGCAAAAGTTATTAAGGGGAATTTCGTTTGCACACTAATTGCACTGGTGCATTTTGCACCAGCAAGTTAGTTAAAAAGGAAAACTACCAAACTGGGGGAGGGGGTTGCTATTACTCTTAATACATTAGCCTTAGTGCCCTTAGCTTAGTCCGGCAGCTGGTTTGCAATACTAGTCAATACTTACTACCAGTGGCGTCATCGAGGTTTGCATCACCCAGCGAGGTAAACACCTGGTATCACCCCTCTTCAGACCCCCCCCCCCCCCCCCACACTGCCAGAATTGCATTGAGTAATATTTAAACAGATCATACAGAACCAGTTATAGTATTGTTGCTTTTTTTTAATTCAGTACTAAAGCAACAAAAGATGTGAGTAGAAAACATAATATTTTAGGTAAATTAGTTTTAAATTTGCAACTAAATTACTTTTTGTTGAAATTTTATAGTTATACTTACAGTTAAAACTTTACTTCCTGATCTTCAAAGATGCAAATGATATTTTTCAATGTCAATCTCTTCATCAAACTCAACATTCAACTTCAAATTATCAATTAAATAGACCAAATCACTAGACCAGAAAGCCTAGACTTCTATGATAGATTCAATTAGTACTTTAGAAGTTTCAGTTTTGAAACACTCCTCTCACATGAAGCCATATGCACAAAGATCATAACAAATAATTTTAGATTAAATGAGACGATTGGGAGACATTCCTATCCTGTTCTGATGGCACCGTACTCTGATGTTACCCTTCTCTGTCTGGTGATCCCCTGTTCTGGTAGCAACCTGCTATAGTCTATAGTGGCCACAAGAATATATATTGTTTTATATTTGTTAAGTAATTTATTTATTTTTTATAAAAAATTTTGCAAAGTGCAGGGCTCAGTTTTCTTGGTAATGATGAAATTTAATGGCAGTCCAAAAAGATGGCAAAAAGTAACTAAGGCTCCGTCTCAACAAGATGGTTAAGGTTAAACACCAAAATTGAAACAAGGGAATTTGACCATTTAAAAAAAAATTCAGTTTTAAGTAATCGTCTTAAAAATCATGAAAAATATATTAAAAATCTATGTTAGTAAAAAAAGGTACATTTGGAGAGATAGCAGTGAACTTATGTCCTAAATCTATCCCTAAACCTAACCTGAACCTTAACCTTATTCCTAACCAGAGTTTTGACCCTATCGGAACCAGGGTTTTGACCCTATCGGCACCAGGGACAAAACATGCAAAGGATGTCAGGGTGCTATCTCTCCAAATCGTTGCGAAAATAGTCAAAAATGAACATCTTTTAAAATCATGGTATCTACAGTTCAGATAGTCCCAGAACTTTAAAACTTTTATATTTTATAGTACTCAATGGTGTTACGTATGGGTCCTAAAATATTTTTTAGTAAAGTAGCAAATGGTAATTTACCTGAATATATGTGTTATCCAAGTTGTTTGAAGAAAATATTTGGGGGTACTGGTTGTAGCTTTCCTGAATATTTCATAAGTTTGTTAAACAATCTAAATATCCTAAGATAGTTCAAACCACAGATAAATAAGGAACATTCCTGCCAATTTATATTGATATTAATTAAGTAATTTAGAAGTTATGGTGATTTATACAAATAAATTTTAGGGAAAATGAAATTTTGAGAAAATGTAAGAAAACGCACAAACTTACATTTTTCAGGAACATTTTAAAAGTTTAAAACCCCCCAGCAGCATAAAACTCTTCCTGATCAAATTCCTTACAAGATAATATAGACTTTTTAGCTCTTTTAGCTTTAATTTTATCTAAATTTGGATACGGTGAGGATAATACACGCTTATTATCAATTTTAGAAAATGCCTGAAAACAATATTTTCCAAAATTTAAACCCAAAATTTTAACTATTTCCCCCATTTTAATTCCCCATTGTTATAAGGCTGCTGCTCTTCGGACCCGGAATCAGAAGTGAGAGGTTGGGTCCAAATAGTGGCGAGCAATGTTCCCTCTAAGGTTTGTTGGTTCGTGTACAAAATCATAAAGTTGTGAGCAAATTTTTAAAGCATCAATTTTTTTGTGCGCAAAATTTTACAGCCTACAGACACAAACACACATTTAAGTGGAAATTAGCTGCGCGTACTCAAAACTGCTGCGCGGCGTCTGTGACATTACTGCGCGGCCGCGCAGCTTAACGGGAACATTGGTGGCGATGCGTGTCCGAGTCCATTTTGACTAAAGGCTATTCGGATGTCATTTGTGGTAGTTTATTTTAATTAAGTTTACAAACATTTTTAGGCCATTCAATTATCTTTCATTCGATAACAAATTTTATCTTACAAACCAAAAAATAATATATTAAATTTTAAACTTAAACATTTTTTAATCCCAAAATGCCAACCTCTCACTTCTGGTAGCTGGGACCCAATAGCCACTTTATTGTTTTAAACTAGGGTGGCATCATCTACAGCTATTTCTAGCCTCTTTCTCCCAACAGATGAGGTCTTGGGACAGCGATACCAAATTAAATTATGAAAAGCCTCGTCATTTGCGTTCTGAGTCCCCACGTGAACGCATTTATGATTTGCTAATTAAAAGAGCATCCAATGAAAGCTCCTCAAATAAACATTGTTCATCACGAAAGAAGGAAGAATACGAGTCAGTACGCGTGTCAAGAGTTAGAGACAATTGAGTTTAATTACCTTATTTTTTAAAATCTACTAAAATTGCCTTGAGCATCTTTTTACAATTGAAATTCAGCAAAATAATTACATACCTCATAAACTTAAATATAAATCGTTATTCTGGCGCTGGACAAGCTGTTGCCAAAGTTGTTAACTATTGACAATTGATGATTGATTAAGGAGTATTTTGCGGAAACGGACAAGGGAAAGAACTTTGAAAAAAGTCCGATTTCTTTTTTTTATTGGTACTTAAGGCTTATGGTTGGTAATTATTTTAATTAAAAATGTTTTAGAATGACTGTGACTATAATTAATCTAAAGGTCAGACGTAAATTACGTAAAGAAGGGTGGGATGGAGCAGCGGCAGTTTCTTGTTCCTATACATTGAGGGATGGCATTTTTGGACCAATTTTTTTTTCCGAGGAGGGGGGTGCAAAAATCTTGTTCAGACCAGGGCGTCACTAACCCTTGACCTAAGACTAAAGTTATAAGTTATAGGCAAAGTAAGCAACCCAAAAAGGCCCTGTGGCTTTTTGGGGGCCATTATTACTCATTATTTTAGGGATGATTATTATAACTTTATCAAAGAAGTTTTTTTTTTTAAAATCTCGGTAAGGGGTCGTTTGCAAATAACGCCACACCAAAAAGGACATTTTCAGACCCTCCTAACACAAATTCTTTACCCCCCCCCCTTTTTTAGTGTCACGTCACACCTAAAAAAACTTCAAAACATACATACCATTTTCATAACTAAACTAAGATTTTATTATTTAACATTTTCCCATAATGGATTAAGACGTAGTATTATTAGAAAACTGGGACGTTAAACAACGAAGTCCTCCCCAAGCCGAATGTAAAAATGACCATGACAGTTTTTACGTCATTAGTCGAAATGTCCAGGTGTGAGCAACTGAGTTTCGAGGTACTTAAAATATAATTTTGACCTCAAATTAATGTTTTAAAAATTTTTGACGCCCCCCCCCCCCCCCCCCCCTGTAATTAAAACAGAATGGTTATACGCGTCATTTCAACATTCTGACCAAAAGTCTCTTAATATATTTATTAATATATACAGTGGTACCTCGGTATTTTGGAATAAGTCCAACTTGGTATTCGTCCTGTTTGGACGAGAAACATTTGGCTTGGCGTAAGTATAAGACTTTCGTTTGGAATACGACCCGCGTGCGTGCTAGAACTAGGGAAAAAGAGACAAAAAAAACAAAAAACAAACAACAACACAATGTCATATTCCTGAAGTTTTATTGGAAGCGGACTCTCCTTCAAAACAATAACATCTCCTTCTCAGCAGTTGACCCATCTCGCCAAGGTAAAGTGAGGTTAAATTTTTATTTATTTCACCTTTCTTTTTGTTTATGTATTTTAGTATTAAGCAGTGTTTAAATTATTTTATACAACCACGTCAATTAATGTATAATATGCCACAAAAATATGATTTTTTTTCATGGGAACGGAGTAATCATTTTCCCTTTATTTCTTATGGGAAAAATACGTTTGGTATAACGTCTACTATAATAAGTACAAGTTATATGTCCAAGGATCTGGAACGGATTAAGGGCGTATACCAACTATAATATAATTTAATAATATATATTCTCTTTACCTCTGGTGTTAGGTGAATATTCAAACAATTATAATTTTTATTTTCCAAAAAAGCTAGCAGTGACCCGAAACTGTTAATCGGGACAATTGTCCAATTCATGGGTACCGGTATCTGAAGTTTAAGTACCGTAGTGAAACAAAATCAGATTTTTTTGTTCGGGGCTGGGAAAGGGGAATTAAATTTTACTAATCTATAAACTTTAACTTTTTAATATCAATTACAATCTTTAAATGAGAATAACAGCATTTTAAGTTTAATGAGTGAATAAATTAAATGAATACAATTTATTATTTTTCTTTTAATTTGACCATGTTATAAATTATAAATATTTTCTATTTCAATCGGCCAATCGAGAGGATTTTTATTAGCTTTTAGCACAAGCCGTTAAAATTCTTTGTTATGACTGTCGTAAACTTTATTTGATTTTCATCCAGTTTCTTTTCTTATTTAGTTTCCACAGGCAATGAATTTAAGACTGAAACTGGTCCTCGGACCATCATTTGGGAAACCCTGGTATAATGTACCAACAGAATCTAAGTTGCACACTGGGTAAAGTTCCAATGATGTGTTTGTGGCTACACATAACAAAACTTAACCTTAACTGACATTAAAAGAACTTCAAATGATAATTTTTTTTACACAGATAAAACTAAATGTAGATTAGATATAGAATTATGGGCTGTTCAAATAGTCATTAATGGTTACCATAGCAAGGGATTGGGAAATAAACTTTGATCAGGTCCAATTAATCATATTTTATTTATATCTGTCAGATTCCACCTTTACAGATCACAACTAAACACGGATATGAAATATAAAATAAACAAAAAATAGAGAAATAAACGTGGGTTTAATAATCATTTATAAATAGATATAATAGTTACTTTCAGAATTTTTATGAAGAATGAAAAATCAGTCTTATGAAACAGCTAACAAGTTAAAGTAAACACTACCATAGTTCAAGGATAAAAATAAAAAAAACAAGCGATCGACCTCAAAAGAAATATTTCAACTTCGAAAAGAGACTAAATATAATGCCTTGAACTAAAAAGAAGGTTGTTTGGGTACAGCTATTAAATAAAAGTACAAATTATAAATGTTGAGCTTTCCCAAAATCACTACAAACTTATCTATCATACTTAATTTACACACTTGATATTTTTTTATCAGTAAAGTGATCAATGAAAATTAAAAATTAATCGAGAAACTAAGAATATTAACAAATTACATGCATGGGTTGTAAACTGAATGAATTTGTAAAGTCAAAGTCTAGATAAAATTTTAAGTCTGAGGCACAACCTAGAAATAAAGAAAATCAGAAGTTCAGATATTTTGGAAGATGATGAACTCTTAGTTTGTGTTCACCTGGCTCAAAGTAAATTTGCAGACAAGCTCTCCAATATTTCCAGTGACATCTAAACTGTGTGTGTGTATGAGCATCGAATGATTTAACCTTGAACTTTGATGTAACAGCCAGCTCCATTTTATAAACCCATATTTACATTTACAGTACAATGTTCACTTGCCACAAGGCAATTCGTAAAATGTCACGGAGATAGAAAATAAAAGGCAGATTTTGTGTAAAAATTGAATATTTGCACATGCATAGTTTAAATTATAAAGATGCATTAAAAAATGTTAACCATTAAGACATTTTACATGCATCAAAGGGGACTACATTTTACTGAGCTATTGAGTGTCAGGAAAACAAAAAAACACTATAAAAAAAATACACTACACAACCTAATCAATAGAAGAGATGTAACAAATCATATAATTAAATGTGAAAATTACAATTTGAAATAAAGGATATTTTTTTTTAAAAAGGCAAAACAATCTATATCTTATCAAATACACTTGCTTCAGATATTTTAAAGTTATCAATAATATCTATATTAGAGGAAAAAAGAGCAATAGCCTAATTGATATACCAGTACAGTAATTAGTTACATAACAAACAGAATAATTAGAATAGAATTATCTTTTTAAACTTAAAACTTTCAATTTTGTTAAAAAGTCAACAGAAATTAGAAATAGACATAAGTAATTAAATAATATTTCAAATAGCTAATTTTTACCCTATTTATGTACATATACAGGTAAGTCGTGAAAATGACATTTGCACCATTGAAAAGATTGCTAAATTTTCTATAATTATGCTTTCACTGTTCACCTGCATATGAAATCTAAAGCCACAAGCTCTTGCATATAATATTAAATGAAAATCATTTGTAATTATTCATAGTTTTACTTGAGAAATTCTGTTTCTTAAGCTTGACAATTACTGAAAGATGACTAACTATAAGCATTCCTTGGCATTCGTGGATATATGTAACTATGTACAAAATATACAGACTAGAGTATTATTATCTTATTGAAATCAATGAATTTATGGGGATTTTCTTTTTTGTCCATACCATATTTGAGAGATATTTATTACTGGTAATTTATGTTTTAGTTAAATATCTTTCAGATCAGGACCCATTACATTAACCAAGGATTTTACATAATACTTTTATGGCATTCTTCTTCTTAAGTTAAAAGGTGGAGAAAATATTTACAAAGCAACTGCCAGGGATAAAAAATGCAAGTATTTCAGTAATTAATTTAATAATACTAAATAAATCTCTCAATAACATGGAGTTAATTCCATATCTAACATGTGTGAAAAAGATGCCTAATCTGTTTATGCAAATCATCTTTGTTACTGCATGACACAGAATGATCCAGATGGAGTCAAGATGACAATTACCACACAGGCAAACAGTTGAACAAAAAGAATCCATTAAAAGATGTCAGTTGTAATTCGTTTTCGAGATGATCTTGGGGTCTTTAAACTGCCATTTGTGAGAGGTGGCGTTTTCCTGAGAAAAAAATATAAATCAACCAAGTTTAATTTGTTTTGGAAGAATAATGTTGAGTAGAGGACAAACAAAGAAATGTATAGTTTTGGCATCATCCACGGCAGGTTCTTAACTTTTAATTAAAAACAATTTTAAAAAATTAGCTGTTGTGGCAAATCTACCACACAATAATAATATTTCATGAAAATGTACATTCAGTTTAATGGAAATTGAAGCATATCTTTAAAATTTTTTAAATACACAGTAAATATCTTCTTTTTGTGTGTATTCATAGAAGGATTCCAGATTGGGTTGGATGGAAAAAAGAGCTGTAAGTCAGGAAGTACTTCCTTGGCCTAGGGCTCCAGTTTCTGAGCGGACTGGTGAAATGATGGATTTTTTCCAGGCCCACACATTTCGGTTTATAAAATATATTGTGTACTCTACTGGGCTAAGGTGACTTAAATGTGAACTATTTGCCTCAACAGAAAAACTATCTGAATAAAATCATTATCATTCTATTTGTTTGTGCGGTTACTTGAAAATGATCTGTGTTAATGTTGTATAATAAATTAGAAACAAACTACTATATAATATACATGATATACTATAATAAACATTTACATTTACTGTCAAAAATAACTTTTACCTTGCATTTGCTCTTGTTTGCAATGTGTTCGGTGTAAGAGCACTCAAAGCTTGCATATTGGCTGTCAGAGCCTCAACTTCACGTCTCAACCGTGTGGGTGTTTCCATTGACAGGCTGAAACAATTCACATACAAATATGAGAGTAATGTATGTCCATGTGAACATTAATTATAATCAGCTAAAGAAACGGTAACGCTGAGCTTAACTTATGGCCCACATTTTTTTAATAGAAGTTTTGATTTATAGCAATTTTGAAGCCCTAAAAGGTGTTAACAAGAGTAAATTTAGAATGGAAAGTAAGGAAATCTTGCACAACGTTATTAATAGGGATTAAAAAAATAATAAAATAAATAACAGTCCCAAAATGGATATGGCCGTAAATCAAAATAAATTAGTAGGTTGTTGATAGTTAGATATCACTTTGCATATGTTGAAAAAAAAAAGAGCATCAATAAATAAGCTCATAAAAATTAAATTAATGACATATATAATTTTAAATAGTATAGATACCAAGTCTTGATTTGTGATCTGCCTTGTCTTGATTTTGAGGGTGTGTCAATTTTGAAGGGAGAAGACATTTTAACATCATGCCCCGCCAAAGTGTGACGTCGCTTACCAGCTCTGGTGGGTGTGATGTTAACTCGACTTCTTCGAGTTGACATCCTCAATTTCTAATAAGTGAAGGTTTTAAAAAAATTATAATTTGCAATTGAAAACATTCTTTACGAAGTCTAGAGACTTGCTATAATAGCTTATGAAAACATTACTGTTGCAGTAAACAGGAAAAGATATAGAGACTATGTAATTTCAAGGCCTATAACTTACAAGGTAAAATGTATATCAAGAAAGTACTGTATTTTAAGATGATCATACTACAGGCTAAATTAAAATTTAGCAAATTTCTAGTTAACAATATATATCTTCTAAGCTAAGCTTAGGGCTAAAATTTTCTATTCTTGACTCTTATACCGCTAGAGCTAATACTTAATACTGTCATTACTATCACATGGAATATACTGAAATCATTGTAAGTTATAATCCATTTGAAATAGTTCCAAGAAAGAAAGTATGTTAATTTTACAATTGGCTGGTGATGGCAATGGGTAGGAAGAGATGCGTTGTAAACATACTGGCCTAATGTGCTGGGCAGAGTGCAAAGCACATAAGCATACCGGTAACGATAATGCACTAATGAAGCATGCTTCCTTCCTCATGTATAAATAATGTAAACGTAGCAACTTTATTGTATCCTTCTACATATGCATCCAGAAGTGTCAGCAACATGTTGTTGCGCCGTTTCCAGAAGTAAATTCAACCGATAAATTCATTTTGTGTTGAACATTAACATAGCCATGGGCCATAGCAGCTTTATTGTATGCTGCAAGAAGTTTCAGATTCAATGACCTGAAGTTGCTCTCTTCCCTAAACCTCAGCTCACCATTTTGGCTAGTTACACAATGTGGTGACAAATGGAAAGTATAAATATGAAAAATTAAGTTTTAATTTATATTAAAAATATTGCTGTTGACAATGGCAGTGGTGTTTTCGGCAAAAGGGGTGGAAATAGGAAATGCCAATAGTCGCAATTAATAATTGAGCCCTGGTAATTGAATATTAAATTATTATAATTATGTCTCAACCCACCCCACTCAGTGCCCAGGCCCTGTTGATTAGTTATTAGTATGACTAAAACGGGGAAAGGATGCCATGACGTCTTTTGCGTGTGCATTAAAGTTGCTGTGAATTTGGGTTCAGGGATACACTTAGGGTAAAACTCAGTTACAGCGCCGGTAATTAACATTAAAATTGACCCAAAACAGCTTTAATAACATGCAAATACACCCAACAAAGCCGTAGTTAACAGTTTCAATTTTATTTAAAGCACCATTTTACTCTGAACAACAGACTGTCTAATCACGGATAGTTATCAACAAGTGTAATCAGGAAGTTCGGAAACATGTCTGTGCGCCGAAACTGGTTGCGATAAGCTAATTCTTGCAGATATGATGGAAACAATCCACGAATAGGTCCAAATTGTCTTCTCAACTTCCACGGTCCACGTGGCTCTCATCCACATGTTTTCGTTGTTCTGGGTATGCACTTCGATGTCATCAGGATCCACGAAATTACGTTGTGAACAACAACAGAATGCTTGCATATTCCGTGCCGATTTGATCTATGTATGCAGCCCAGCCATAGGAAACGATGTGTGTCCATGGCAAGCTATACTGGCTTGTAGTGTGTCTCTATACTGGCTTGTAGTGTGTCTGTGCGTATGTCTGGCACTTCGAACAAGAAGCACCGCCGCGCTCGATCCCACCGAAGACCCAGTGGCCATCCCGCCACTGATTTCCTGTGGAAATATTTCGTTTCATCCATCTCCACAATTATACTTCTCCATTTACGTCTATTGCACCAATAAATAACAAGTTTTTCGGAAATAGCTGCCTCGTGCTGTATCAGGGGCATATCATTATCATACGACCAACAATACACCATGGTGACAATTTGTTGTAATAACTCACTGACTGCATGAAAAAAAGAATTGTTTCGCATAGATAGGCCGTACCCACAACAGTAGCATGCCCATCAATTCCCTGCTGGTACTGATTCAATGTGCATGGATGATTGCGTATTCTGCATGATACTGAGTTGTGAATCAAATTGTGGCATCACATCACTGTAATGCTGAATCAGGTTGTTGCAAGTGTGGTGAAAGCGTCGACAATCCCCACACTTCATTTAACATGTGACATGTCGTTTTTACTCAGTATTTTATGGGGTGGTACAATAGTATTTGACGCTTATGGTTTTTCTGCCATTGTTGTGGATTAAACATTTTTTTAACATAGAAACATCCTGTTTTCTGCTAAAGTTAAAGTATTTCTGGTATGGTAGTGGCTGCCGTCTGTCTTAAAATGTAATTATTGACGCTATATGGGAGTTTTACCACATTTAGGGTTCAGGTTAGGTTTAGGGATACATTTAATTATATTTAGTGACAGAATTAACTGGTCTCGTTAACCTAGATTGCGGCTATTGGAAAAAAATGGCATCTCTTCTATTTTACTAATTAACCTACATTAAATAGGTCTATCTTTCATAACCTACCTGTCTGATAGTACCAACAGCATCTCGCATCGATTGGGTGACATTAGATCTTCTTAGACCTCTTTCAGACTGGCTTGATGTTTTTTCAGAAGTCTGATTTTCATCGTTTGAGCTGCTGGAGCCAACACGACTTTGTCGAAAAGTTGGCAATGAATCTTGTTTGCTTGACGAACCTGTTTTTTGTGGTGAAACATCGGTATAGCAATTCTCTTTTATATCAAGTAAGGCATAACGTTTTGTACGAAAAGATCTCCTTATAATAGAACTTGCTTTCTTTATATTTGAAGCCATTTTCACAACTTAATTTTTCTTGGTTTGATTAACTCGTGATTAATCCCTTGCGGAAGCTCAACAGGAAGTTATCTTATTTGTTTTGAAATCAGCGCCAAGCATTTTTATTTTCGCTTTTACATTTTCGCAAATTTCTTTATTAATAAATAATAAATGACAATAATAAGTTGTGTGAATCCTTGTTATAAACAATTATAGTAAAGAAATAATTAAAATAAAAAAGATAATGGCTATTATTAGGTATAATGAATGCTATTAATAAAATAATGTGTAAGTAAGATTGGAATATTTCTTGATTAATCCGAATTCTCAGTTCATCATCATTGGATGTATCAGTGAACCAAACAATAGAGGGAACACAATGATAAGTAAGCATGGCCTTAAATTTAGTAAGGAAAAAAAAATAATTCATATCTCAAAACTAAATTCAAATACCAGTGTTAATAAAAGAAGCAATTGAGTTATAATAAAAATAACAAAACTGCGGCCCTTTCGCTCCTCTCCAGTTTTGCCTCTAGGGCAGTGGTTCTCAAACTTCTTTGTGCCGCGACCCATTAATACAGTTTCTCGTGTCGTAGCGACCTCAGCCACACAATTATTTTCGTTGCTACTTCATGGCTGTAAGGATATGTGTTTTCAGAAGGTCTTAGGCGACCCCTGGAAAAGGGTCGCGTAACCCCCAGGTTGAGAACCGCTGCTCTAAGGGATGGAATGGGTACTAAATAAAAAAAAAATATAATTTTTGTGTCTTACTAAATAAATATAATTTATAATGGGACATGACCAATGAATTTATTTTAATTAAGAGACAGACACCTTTTTTTGTCAAATTATTGTAAAGGGAGAAAATACTTTAAAAAAACAACTTATTTTTTTTTTTAAAATGAGGTTGTGGTGGAGGGGGGGGGGACGACATGATACTGTCATATTTTAAAATTTATGACAAATGAAAATTTTGCATAAAGGCAGTTTTAAAAATTTGTATTAACAAACTATAAGTAAATGTATGTATTCTGCATTTTTGCATTTTTTGTTATTGGTGTTGAAAATTTTAAATGGGTATTTTAAAATATATATATTAGGGGTCCTTTTTGCAAATTACGTTATGCCAAAAAAAAAAAGACATTTTTAGTCACCTTCTCTGTCACAAAGCGTCACAAATTCCCCATTTTTGTATTTTTTTTTATTTGTGTTGAAAATTTTAAATGGGTATTTTAAAATATAAATATTAGGGGTCCTTTTTGCAAATTACGTTATGCCAAAAAAAAAAAGACATTTTTAGTCACCTTCTCTGTCACAAAGCGTCACAAATTCCCCCCCCCCCCATTTTTTTAAGTGTCAAGTCACACCTAAAAAAATTCAAAACATACATACAATTTTCATAACCAAACTAAGATTTTATTTTATTCTTTAACATTTTCCCATAATGGATGCAGTATTATTAGAAAGCTGTGACGCGAAAAAAAAACAAGTCCTTCCCAAACCGAAAGTAAAATGGCCACAACACTTTTTGCGTCATTTTTCGATGTGTCTAGAAGGTGCGAGCGACTGAGTTTTACGGTCTTTAAAATACCTGAGTATAACACCCCGGGGAGATGAGACTCGTTAACCTTGGATGGCAACCCATCTAAGAGAAGGCAACCCATCCAAGAGAAGGCAACCCATCTAAGAGAAGGCAACCCATCTAAGAGAAGGGAACCCATCTAAGAGAAGGCAATCCATCTAAGAGAAGGCAACCCATCTAAGAGAAGGGAACTCATCTAAGAGAAGGGAACTCATCTAAGAGAAGGCAACCCATCTAAGAGAAGGCAACCCATCTAAGAGAAGGGAACTCATCTAAGAGAAGGGAACTCATCTAAGAGAAGGCGACCCATCTAAGAGAAGGCAATCCATCTAAGAGAAGGGAACTCATCTAAGAGAAGGGAACTCATCTAAGAGAAGGGAACTCATCTAAGAGAAGGCAACCCATCTAAGAGAAGGCAACCCATCTAAGAGAAGGGAACTCATCTAAGAGAAGGCAACCCATCTAAGAGAAGGCAACCCATCTAAGAGAAGGCAACTCATCTAAGAGAAGGCAACCCATCTAAGAGAAGGAAACTCTGAAATCATGACCCGGAGATGGAGTCCCGTAAGGCGGATAACAATGATACAAAGAAAACATTCCGACAACTCCTGCGACGTCACTGGTGCCAAGCTGTATCATCCATTGATGTTCCCTTGGGTTATCCAGCGGCGTGGAGAGAGGCGATTTGCTGTTGGGATCCAGCTTATAATCCTTGAAGAATAATCCCAGGCCATGTGGATTTCGTCCTCCGAAGCCCACTCCATCGTCACATTGTGACGGACGGATGCCAGCAAAATAATACCTGAGTCAGTTTCGACCTCAAATTAATGTTTTTAAAATTAATTGATTAAAAAGTTTTCAAAATTAAAAATTGTAAGATTTAAAAAAAAAAGTGTGACGTCACAATTTTTTTTACCCCTCCCCCTGTCACAAAGTGTCGCAAATTCTCGACACCCCCCTTCCCTCCCCCATGAGTATGACGTAATTGCGAACGACAGCTTATTATTAATTGATCTCAAGTCATTTATTATCAGTTTAAGTTTTATGTATTTTCTTTCTAATATAATATATCATTGGATCTTAGTCTTGTTTCGTAGTTGAAATTGCCTTTAAGATAGATCCGCCTCTCCACTAACTCTTACATCATTTTTTTTCCACGTAATAAATGTAATGATTATATAAATTTAGCAACTACTGCTACGGTTTAATTCTGTGTATTAAAAAAAAAAATAAGCCTATATTCATTTTTGGCTGAATTATTATTATTATTTTTTTATTTTTTTTTTGTAGTGAGTGAGGCCAACAGGTACGGGGTATACTGTTAAGGACTTGATCGCATAGTATGATTGCGAGTTGTTTGGAGAGTATTTGGGTAGATGTTGTTGATTGATATTTTTGTGACGTATTGCGCGAAAGGGAAATGACGTATGAGGGTGTTGTGGTGTTCTTTGAGTACAGTAATAGCAGTTGAAGAATTAGTTCGTTAATAAAGATATTTAATATGAGAATAATGGTTTGTGAATTGTATATAATTAAACCCCTAGACAACGAAGTCAACAATAGTTTAACATCTTTTGTAATCAACGGTCAACCAAAACTGAGATGCATTGATGATGTAACGAAGGACTTACATCAACCTGGGGTCCGCTCATAGAGGCGGAAAGCCATGGATTGATCCTAATAGAAGGATGTGATTGAGCAGCCCTACATGGGTTGTAGCGCCAATAATGATGATGATGGAAACATTTTGTCTGCAATCAGTCTCTCGAAAAAAAAAATATTTTAAAAAAAAAAGATATATAAATACAGAATTTTAAATTAAATAAAATAAATTACCGGTACATACTTTAATTTGCTAGAACAAAAGTTTAGAAAAAATCAATGCTTAAAATTCCCAATACATGCACATCTAAATCTCACTTTGCGTGACTTTCAGCTGGCAAATGTTCTGAACAATTCAATAAGATCTAGTGATGATCCTGAAGTTGTAACATGAACCTGCCACGTGTACGTATGAGTTTATTTGACATTATTTATCTGTTATCTCGCACTGATTGTTTCATTTAAATTTTTTTATGGAATTTTAATTTTTCGATATTGCTGTAACCAACAAACAACAATTCTTTGCGTTTATTTAAACATCATGAAACCATTATTTACACCTCACACCCGGGCATATTCAGACCATTCCCTCATGAATGGTCAGCGAGTTCCAGGAACCTGGACCGTTTTACACAAATCGCCGGGGCCAGTTCAATCCCCCATTTTTCACCCCCTCCCGAACACTTCCCCACCTTTGAAATGACGTAATCGGTAAAATGTGACGTCATGTAGTTATAATTAAAATTGCAGCCATTTTAGAAACCCTTCGACAGCAATAAACAACAACAACAACAGCAACAACAACATCAGCAACAACAACAGCAGCAGCAGCAGCAGCAGCAACAACAACAACAACAGCAGCAGCAACAACAACAACAATATCAGCAGCAGCAACAACAAAAACAACAACAACAACAACACACACAACGTGAAAATGCCAAGGAGGCTTACAGGGTCACAGACAAGGTTTCTTTCAGCTATATCTCCGGGGGGCACTGCCCCCCCCGGGGAAAGCCAAGTGCCCCCCGGAGCAAAAATATACCCAACAATAAATCAATTGGCACTGGCCCCCCTCCCCCAAAGAATCTGAAAAGACACCCCCCCCCGGGGAAAATTGTCTGAAATAATCACTGGTGACAGAGCTAAGGAGGAGGACGCAGCTACACAAATGAATTGACATTCAACATTTCATCTCTAACGATCTTCAGAGCTAAGGAGGAGGAGGCAGCTACACAAATGAGTTGACATTCAACATTTCATCTCTAACGATCTTCAGAGCTAAGGAGGAGGAGGCAGCTACACAAATGAGTTGACATTCAACATTTCATCTCTAACGATCTTCAGAGCTAAGGAGGAGGAGGCAGCTACACAAATGAATTGACATTCAACATTTCATCTCTAACGATCTTCAGAGCTAAGGAGGAGGAGGCAGCTACACAAATGAGTTGACATTCAACATTTCATCTCTAACGATCTTCAGAGCTAAGGAGGAGGACGCAGCTACACAAATGAGTTGACATTCAACATTTCATCTCTAACGATCTTCAGAGCTAAGGAGGAGGAGGCAGCTACACAAATGAGTTGACATTCAACATTTCATCTCTAACGATCTTCAGAGCTAAGGAGGAGGCGGCAGCTACACAAATGAGTTGACACTCAACATTTCATCTCTAACGATCTTCAGAGCTAAGGAGGAGGAGGAAGCTACACAAATGAGTTGACATTCAACATTTCATCTCTAACGATCTTCAGAGCTAAGGAGGAGGAGGCAGCTACACAAATGAGTTGACATTCAACATTTCATCTCTAACGATCTTCAGAGCTAAGGAGGAGGCGGCAGCTACACAAATGAGTTGACATTCAACATTTCATCTCTAACGATCTTCAGAGCTAAGGAGGAGGAGGCAGCTACA